ATCGCACGGCGTGATTACCAATAAGGCGCGTATATATATATATATATATAGAGGTATATATATATATATATATGTATATCTATTTACAATATCATGGAAAATATACAAAGGACATCGGCACTACAGTATATATTCTCGATTCTTTTTTTTTTTAAGACGTTTGATTCTTGCATATATATCACTGAGGTAAGTTTTCACTGGTTTTTAAGCTACGGTCACTCTCGCATTGGATGCTCGAGAGAGCGAAGGGACAAGTACTCTCGACAAGCTCACATCGATCCCAGAGGAGAAAAACTAGCGGAGACCTACGCGCCGAATTGACAGCCATTTTTACAAAAGTCAGTGTCCATAAAACTTGTGAGAAATTTTTTTCATCGAGTACTTGCGTAAATAATTTGCTGGAACTTTATCGAGTGATAATTGCCTCGAAAGATAAAACAAAATTAAATTACTATGAAAGTAATCAACTCCTTCACTTCATTTTAAGACATATAAATTTATGTACGACCTAATTTTGAAAATTTTGCGCTACGCGAATAACTATGCTACGCGATTCTTGTAAGTTTTGTAAAAACGGCCCTCAATCATTCCGAGTCATGCGAGAGTTGGAGAGCGGAAATTGAATAAAATTAGAAATGTCTTAATTTTAGACGGTCCCGTTGGGTATGTGTGTGTACAGCGATGCCAGCCATTTACGTATTCTTAAAAATTCTCTCTATCCATTTTTTGTTTATTTCGCACACAGTGTTTTACCGAAAAGTGCAAATTTTGGGAGAATTGTCATTCGCTGTCGGCCGGTGATATGTCTTTCGCCATTCGTCAAATAAAACGTTACGTTGCTACGTTTTGGTCACGATAAAATACTACGGGAAGCGAGAATATGATTCTCCTCTGTCCAAGATTTCCTTGTGAAACTTAGCGAGTAATATGTGATATCGCGAGCTTTTGATTTACTTTGATATAAATTGTTCTTAAGTAGAGACGCGCACTGGGAAAACTGCTCGCAAAATCTCCACGAGCTTTACATGCCCTACGATATCTATATCGATGGTTGTAAAAGTAGCCTAAGCCACAATCGTGAAAAAGATTGAGTTAATTAACGTTCTTAACGTTTTTTTAGCTCATTTTATAACATACATTTCACTGTGAGTACGAGGAATTCATTGAATTATTATTACAGAAATTCCGGAATACATCAATATTTTAAGCATGCTTTACAAATATTGGAAAATATAATATTTTACAATATGTAAAAGTCTAGTTATCTTAAAATGAAAAATATGACTTAGGCAACTTTTTGCTTCACAAAAGAAGACAGGTGTTGCACGCCTTAGACAAGCGACTTCGCTTGCTGAAAGACCGTAAAGAGCTTTGCTTATGATTTCTCGCGGATACACGGTGACATCAAGCAGTTATCTTTTGATATAAAGTAGTTCCGATTTAATCTCAGAAGCAAACCTAAGCTTACAGACTCGTCGCATTTCTGCGAACGCGATTTCTGCGAACGATAAGATAATTTACTCGTTATTGTTAGCCTTTCTTTCGTTACTACGACGATTACTACGTCGCAGTTGACATATATACAGGCATAATGTGACACTAAAAAATCTGTACGGACCCGTTTTATAGTTAAATATTAATGCAATTGCAGCGAGCATTCGATGTGTGTCACCGATCAGGATACACGCGTACGTTCCTCAAAGAAATCAGAATTACCACTCACGGAAAACACGAATAAGGAATCGCGCGATCTTTTTTGATACTTGCATTTTTTTTATTGTCTATCATATATTCGAACGCGCCAAAATTATCTCGATAATGCAAATGTGAATTCAAGATTTTTACCGCAGCTTTTCAAATTTCTTATTCATGATAGAATTATAATATTCAAATTAAAATTGAATCTCAACATACATAATGGAGATACGCTTAAAAAATATATATTTGTCAACTCGTTGCACATTGTGCAATAAAAAATATAATTAGACAATTTTTTAACTAAACAATAAATAAATCATCCTTTCGAAGAAACTCCATATTGATGACATATTTAATCTCTTACGTTAAAGTGTAATTTCGATCTATAATTCATCATTAACGCTATGCGATTTTTTAAGTGATCTAGAACTTTAGAATTTGTTACATGTTTTGAAATATTTGAATTAATTTAAAACGACATTAAAAATCAATTGCTTGCGTGTACATTTTAAAAATTCCGGATACTCTGCAGCTGTTTTCGTTTGCTTCGCTACTGTATACAAAATCGACTCGTGAATTATTCAGTCGCAGCGTGTTCCGGGTTTACATCGTTCGAGGAACATCGTTCGGGGGAAGAAAAAAAAAATTACATCACGCAGATTAAAAGCGTCCTGCGAACGCTTTGCGTAGATTTGAAACGGTTCAACGAGCCTGTAGCGTAACATTGTGTCACGGTAAACGAATGATTTACACTCTGTGTATAGCTCTCTAAAAAAATGCGTTACTCTACGGGTAGTGTAATGAAGGTTCGTTCGCAAAAATATTTTTTTTTAAACTATTCACGTCTGCTTACGATCGCCCGAATACGTGGGCGAATACATATTTTTCAGAAAACATTCACGCCTCCAAACCGCACGTGTAAATTGTAAAAACCACGCGCAGTAACCGAGAGATCGTTTAATATACATCACTATAGGGAAAGTTTGTGTTTGCGCAACACCAACTTTTACGTTACCTCGTTAACGGAATCTGTAGGCGAACGTTCGCCGAGTTAAAATAATCGCATGGCGAGCCATACGCCTATGATAAACGTGATCCGAGTCTTCCTCTATCAGTTAAAAATCTGTGGAAAACTATCGCTCCCATCGTCTTACTTTCTGTATGCGATTACATACACACGTATTAGGGTAAATAATCTAAGAATGCATGCTGTAGGCCTATTTAGTAAATCGGCCGTAGTATCTCTCGTATTCCGCTATTAATTACGCAAATGCAATTTTACATGCTTGACCGTTTCCTCATCAAACAGACGCCGTTTATCGCAAACAGGACATACAAAGATGTTGCAGCAGATGTTACTTATTGTTAGGCTTCGTCTGTAAATTTGCAAGAAAAGAAAACGCTTGTTGTGACACGGTTGTTGTATACTTAGCGTCGCGTTCTCTCGTTTCCGCATTCAAGAAATCGAAAATGATTCTTTGACTTGACAAATCATAGACAAGCTTTTTGATTATGTTATCAGGGACGCCTTTCGCATCATTATGCGATACTACGAGCGTCTCAAAGCGTATTGGATGAAGTTTCATAAGAAAGTTTTAACTTTTAACGTTTAGAGAGAGAATTGTATAATGTTTTGCTCAAAGTTAAAACTCGTAATGATTTAAGAGAATCTCGACTGGTTCGAATACAACAAATCACAGCGATCACCGAGGTTCGGTTACGCTCGAAGTGATCCATAAGCAACATTTTTATGTCATTTATAACGCATCGTAGCGTTATTTCTGCAGCAATAAATCTGTCATGCTAGAACAATAATAGATAATGAAATCCATTTCACAGTGGCATTAAATTATACCTGCATCACAATCATTATTTACGTCGCGATTGCATGTCATTTGCTAAGTAATTAATAGTTACTGAACGGAAATTTATCCATAATTTATGGGACGTGTGATTCGTAAATTTACCAATAATTTATTAAACTGAACGCTGTGGGGCTAATTACATTTCTACGCGAAGACCACAATCGATACTTCGCGATTTACGACAGATGGGTCGTCGTCTGCGAATATTCGCAGATACCGACACGCTGAACGATCGTGATTGACGCGGATCACCGGCATTGTTTCTGTTCGGCTTTGGCATGGTCCACGGTGGCCGCGGTTCTTTTCGACGACCTCTTGGTCTCCGACTTGCCGGCGCCGTTGACGCCCTTCGAACTGGTTGCCGACAGCGATGTCACTTTGGACGATTTTTTCATATCTTTCTGGTCACTTCTGCTGGCCTCCGTTATCTTGTCCAGCTCCGCCATCGCCTCTTGTATCGCGTTTTCCAATTGCATATTCAATTTACGACTTCTAGAAAAATAGGGGAGGAACGAGAAAATCGTACAGTTAGTATTAAGATGATTACCAGCGCCCGCGCGTGCGGACTCGGCGAAACAGAACAACAGTAAAATCATAATCTAGAAGCTAAACACAGTCGCGACTAATAGGCAAGTGAATTGGCTAGATTACAATTAACGCGTATGACAGTCTCTAGCCACGAAAAAATCGCGTAAAAAATTGCAGAAAAATATATATATATTTGTTTATAAAGAAAAACTTGTGTACGCGGTTTGTTAATACAAACGTATTTAATATTTTTCTACTCGACCGTCGCGTGTTATGGAAATTAGAATTACGTACATAATAATGCAGAATAAAAAGAAAGGGGAATTGAGAAGAAAGATGGCTGAGATTGAAATAGAGAACCACTTAATATATTAATATCCAGCACATAAAAGTATCGATATCCTTTGGCGAGTTAACGAGAAGAATATTGAACCACAGCTACGCAGTAAGCTATATAAGGGATTTTAATTGGCTGTTGGCTTGCTATACGATTACGATCACCGACTGTAAGAGCTCTCCAGTGAAAAAAGAGAAGATTTATCGCTTTTAAAAATGAATTCATTGCTGAGAACTGACTATAAGATACGCTCGTAACCTTGTCTCTTACTTACTGCCGCAGTATATTTTAACAATGCGATAAAAAATATCTTTATTAAATTCACGGAGATCTACATCGTGCAACACTTATCGTTCTTCATTAACTCTTGCTCTTAAAATTATATTAAATGTAATAAAATTTGTATAACATCACGTGCATTTTACTCGACTCTGGAAAGGATATATGGTGCAACTTTTTGACATTTAATAATGCTAATTAAAATCATAAATTAACGTGTCTGTGTCGCAACTGTAAGGTCGAGTGCCGGAAAAAAAAAAAGAATTTAAAAACGTAACACTCAAGCATCTCCCGTTCTACATATTTCCCTCTCAATTTCTGCAATAATATATTGAAGCAACGAGATATCTCTAAGAGGCTCTCATCTATAGTTCATTCTAGTCGGGGTGGGTGACTCACTTCCTAAACTTTTTACGGGCGCGATGGTGCGCCTCGAGACCTTCGGACAGGGATTTGAGGGCCTTGACATCGACTTGGGTGCGACCGCCCCCGCCCCCGTACCACCGGACCCAAACTGTCATAGTACCCGGGGGGCCCAGTGACTCGACTTTCCCCGGCCAGGCCGGGCTTCCTCTTGCTGCGCCCCACACTAGGTCACCGACCATCAGTTTCCATTGGTTCCCGTCGTCTATGTCCTTTGTCTCGGCTACTGGGGGTTCCAAAGAATGCAACGCTATGTTTCAGAGATTTGCCATCTCGGCTGATTTCGCGAAAGTAACATAAAAAAGCCCATCTCCGTAAAGACACTTTCGTACAGACACATTAGATAAGAAACTGTTGCGGAAGTCGTGTACAACAAGGTGGTGTTGAGAAATATGTGAAGATTGGAAAATGTATTAATTAATAATATTAAATCATGGATATATCTTAATTATTAAAAAAATTAAAAGCTCATAGTGATTTTACTAAAGTTTTTAATAAAGAGATTAACAATTTTTCTGCTTTGATAAATTTGACATGAACCGCGTGTACAATCGATTTTTATTAATTTTGAAAATCTGATGTGTAAAGAATATCATAACATAAAGCATTAAAGCATTAAATTTACAATAAATATGAAGCAAACATATTTGTGTGGCATAATTTGCAAATTTATAATGAATAAAATGATCAGGATTCTTATATTTCAAAATTTTTATCACTGAAATATAATAAATAATTCAATTGTACTGTGCCAAACACGTCTGTAAATATACACGACACCGCGTAACTTCCATCTGATATACCTGTATTGATCTCGATTAAGATGTGCAACGCATAACAGCAAAACGTTCCGATATGCTTATGGTGCGTGTCGCAGAGGGATGTTCGAAACTGATGGTTGAACTACTTGTCCAGTAGTATCGTAATAATGTGCTTCTTGCTCGCATGTGTGCTCGTTAAATACGATTAGTAGCTTCATTCAATGGTGGTAGGTGAGATCAGAGGCAGAATGAAATATCAGATGGTTCGAACACATGCAATGATATTTTGCCAATGTGAATATCATTCGTTTTATATTCCCTTTTTCCACGATTTATTTTTGCGAGGCGAAATCTCTCCATTTATGATATTTCAAACAAATAAGCATTTTTTATAGAAATTTATAACATTTACAGGATCCAAGTTTTTTCAATTTTTAACAAATTGTAAAAATCATCACTTTTTATTTATTATTCTCGATGCTGGAATAAAAAAATTTATATTTTACAGCAATTCAATTCCGGTTGTGATAACTATTTAAATACAATAGCATTTACCGTGCCATAATTACGTAATTAAACTTTATGTGTTATTATTAATATTTGATTCTATTTCATCTTCGTAGCTTTATTCTATTGCAAACGTTTTTCAATCGTTGCGGGATTTTTTTTACCTCCATCCTCGGGAATATGCACATGCTGTACGTAAAACGTAAAGATGTATATGTACAAGATATGTCGAAATAACACACGATAGTGAGCCACACCCCTTCCGAAATGAACGTATGATTCAAGCCCCTTGGCTACTCGGATGAGAATGTAATTGCGTGGGTATTAACAAACCTGACAGCCAATTAGTAAACGCAAAAAAGGAACCTTGGAAGATTACATTATATTTACAATGATCAAAACAGTTATTTCTTCCTTCCACAAGCGACGTGTTGAAGGCTCGTACGTGATGAATAAGAGTCTTTTTTCTTTTTTTTTCTCTTTTTTTTTAGTATTAGCGCCACTTACCTGCCTTCCTCGATTTCTCGTTAATGTGATTAATAATGCGACATTAGAATGAATAAAGTCGCTATCATAGACTGATTCGGTAAACTCAGCTCCGAGTTCGCACAAAATAGTGCATTTTTCCGGCATGAAGCCCCGATATGAAGAGGGACGAGTGATCCCTCTCGACCCAACGATCCAATTTGAGCGCAGAATTTCGAATATTGCGAAAAAAAGCTGCCACCAAAGCGATACTTCGCCATGCAATGATATTAGCAGACATGCACAAGCGAAATAAATAAACCAATAAATAAACTATTGATAGGCAAATTGGCGATACACGTAGCACGTGAAATTGGTTGAAATAGCAAGCCGAATTAAACAATGCCGATGATTAGATAATTTACGAGCATGTAATTCATTAAGTTACAAGATGAGTCAGTGAAAATGAAGTTGTAATTTGAAGCATTCTTAATAGTAACATTCATATGATAATTATATCTAGTGACAAAGAGCAACGGGAAGGCATCGTCTTTTTCTCGCGAATAAGCCAGTAAAAGTAAAATTGGCACAGCAACGATCAATGCTTCACGTTTCTCGCTGTCATAAAAAAACATCCTGACAAAGAAACTTAAGAAATGTATTCTATAACAAAATTGAAAGTTTATCCGGCCAAAATCCGTGCTTCTTCTCTCGTTACGTCGGCCATTACGAAAGTTTCTTCGCAGAATACTTTTGCTACTAAGCGGAAATACTTTGACTACTCGTATATGATTAAGTTCTAAGAGTACCGTACAATACTGACCATCTTGGTCTTCATGCAGAGTAGAATGCATGGAATGGATGGAGTCCAGCTTTCGCTTGATTCCGCGGCCGAGGGCATGTTCCCTGCCCTCGCACCTCACCGTGCTCACCACACCTTCGGCTTGCTTCAACGTCTCTGACGTATAGATCTGTCAAATACAACTCGATCAACTCAGGCACAAGCCTACCAATCGCATGCTAATATCATTTCAGTGTAAAGGTCATTCAGAGTGCCAATGTATTATTTTTTTCTCTATTTAAATCCCGTTTCATGGTCCACAAGGACTTTATAGTTTCTCTCTCGACTGAGCATAGGAGACAAGAGCGCTTTTGCAACTCTAATTCGGACAATACAGAAAAAGAAGTAAATAAAATTAAAAGAAAAAAAGTAGATCACTAAAGTAATCACGAAAGTTCGATGTCTCCGATGCTTTCGATGCAGAAATCACGCGACAAATTTAACTCATCGATGCATGCAAACGATGATACCAAAAGAGACAAACTCAAACTCTGTTTACGCATGCTTACATTGCAAGGTACTTTTTTTCATCAGGTATATATATTCATAATTTTTATCAGAAGGATATTTTTTGTTCAGAAAAAATTTATTTTTTTGTTATATAAAAAGAGTCCTGATTAGTTCTGATTAACACGATTAATAGTACAATTACATTATTGCAATCTACCATTTAAATAATAACGCTAAATAAACGAGCGTACGTATACGCTCTCACGTTACAGTGCAAATGTAAAAATTATTAACGTTAAATACAAACTAATTACAAACTTAATATTATCGAATATTATCGCGTGAACCGATCGCAATCTAATAATGCCACTGGTGCCTATTCCATTTTCAATTTACAAAATTAATTTGATAAAACCGCGCAAAGAGAAAGCTGCGGTCACTCGTCCGACGACGAGTCACTCTCCTCAGCATCGTCACCTTCTTGCGCATATATGAATTGATTATAAATATATGGATTAATGTAAGTTTGCTTATTAGGCGTGTAATTAACAACAGCAATGCCGTTAGGATCAGATCTATAATTGTACAAGTGCGGATAGAGGCCGGATGACGCGATACTAACGTTGACGAATTTTTCTGGATAACCGACGTTTTGCGAACAGTAAGAAATCCCGGTATTATGTCGTTCCAATGTCTTCTCGTCGGAATTTTGATCAATTTCGTCTTGCTCCATGGCATGCTGCACGATCTGAGTATTGACGCGATTCGTATCAACGCACGGTTTCTCCTCGAACTTGTCATTAACTTGCGGCAACATAGTGTAATGTGCGTGATCTGGCACTAAGGCTTGCTGTCGATAAACGTTCGCATTGGGGACATAATGCTGGCCGTGATAGAGAATTGGCTGATAATGACCGTGACCTATGATTGGCAACGGATTGACCTCGATCTCCGAATAGGGAACGTCTGTCATTTCTTTACTGACGTTTAGTTGGTCTTCCACGGTAGAGTGGTCCATTGTGTCTGAATTAATGGAATGATTTGGTGATGATGTGTCCATATACTCCTGTGAGTCAGCGTATGTGTTTTCTGGGTGTGTCGTATCGGCCGGCTGGTGCATGTCTATTACAGTTAGATGACGGTTGACCTGCTCTACGTGGGTACCAACCTGGATCCCAGTGGTCACCGTTGACTCCACGTAGGTCTTTCCATGCAGGCTCGGTTGATTCAAAGTGATCTCCTTGGTGGTGATACCCTGCATTCTCCAATCCTCCGACGCCATTTGCGCGTCACCTGAGTCTGGTTCGCTGCTTGACACGCAATGAACCATAGGCTGAAAATATAAAATGGCAAGATAATTAATACATATAAAATTCTTCATTGCCGAGAAAGAATCTTGCACATTTTTAGCTTTGATATTGAAAACATAAAGACGAAAAAGTTAAAATGATTTTCTTCGTCATTTTCACAATAAAAAATATGCATATTCTTCTAAAAATTAAACAAGTTAATCTTATTCCAAACTATACCGTGAATAATTAATATACACGATTCTTTATTACCGAGAAAGAATCTTAACAGAAATATTTTCTTTTTACAATGAAAAATATGCATATTCTTCTAATAAGAATTAAGCAAGCTAATCTTGTTCCAAATTATACCGTGGACGACGAGTGATGTCTAGCGGTGATCGGAGGCGCTGGCGAAGCTGCGCCGTGTGTAGTGGTATCCACGGCAGGACTGTTAGACCTTTGACTGTTTCCTGGACTGTGAGTAGTCGTGTCAGGAGGTGATCCCTGTCTCATCATTGCCGATTGCGCCACATTCGTTTGATTTCCGGCAGTTTGCGTCGACACGGAGTGCCTCGCCATAAGTGGACTGTGCTGTTCGTTCTGTTGAGCCGTTTTCTCCACGACGGTTGTGCTACTACTGGCTAATACATACTGCTGTTGCTCGACGTTTTGATCGGACGACGGCGAATTCACGCCGCTTTTAGGCGAAGAGGATGCTGTTTTTCCTTGAATCATGCCGGAACTCAAAATGTACGACTGATTGTGATCGAGATTTAAAGAAGGATCGACAGTTTGTCCGCCGTTAGAAGCTGCACTTTGAAAATTCGGTATCTGATTGTTTGAAACCATAGTCGTTTGCTGCTGCACGATCGTCGTGTTTTGCTGGACGAACGTTGTGTTCTGTTGATTCGACGCTGAAGAGACGGCGATGTTCTGCGCGGTCGCACAAGGTACCATGAGCGTCTGCCCGTTCATCTGTATAAATTCCTGCTGACCTTGCATATTCGGTGGTCTCACTTGCGAGGTGTTGAACGTTACTTGCTGATTCGGACTGACGTTTGCGACTATCGGGCTTAGTTGATTTCCGAAGGACGTCGTTCCGTTCACCAGGAACTGACCGCTATTTGGCGATAGAAATTGCGCTCCAGGACTGTGCTGTTGTATTATCTTTCCACTGGTCGCTTGTGGCGCCCGTATAACCATTCCAGCTGGTCCGGCGGCCAATATGCTTTGACTCGGATTAAATATGCCGCCGTGGCTTTGAACTGGCGTAAGCACGTTCTGACCATTGACGTTCTGTATCTGTAGCTGCATCCCGATGTTACCCGTATCTTGTAATAATGTAGCCGTGCCGTCGGCAGACATAACCATGCTGCCTAAGCCAGGAACGATAAATTGCTGGATGGTGGGGAAATTCTGAACCATCCCGGTCGTGCCGTTTAACAAGTTAACCGGTTGAAGAAGATTAATCTGCTGCGCTGGTTGAGGATTCGTGATTATCTGCTGCGTATTGAATTGAGATGCAGCGCCGGTTTGACCGTTCATCACGAGCTGTGCCGGCGCGCCAGCTTTGCCAGGCACAATAGTCAGCGCTTGGAGCATAGGTCCACCTATGCTCTGAGTCTGAAAGTTTTGCTGGGCAAAGTTCGACTGCGACTGCATCAGCATACCGGCATTTTGCTGGGACGAAGCAATGTGCAGCATCGACGCCACGGTCTGTGGATTCGTTTTCCGCTTCTTGTACGCTTTCTTCTTGGTTATCGCCGATTCCGGCGATAGCAGCGCTGGCTGTCGATTCACAGTCATGCTTTGATTGGCGGTGACAGCTCTAGACACATCCTGATTCGCGTCGAGAATCGACTGAGTGTTCTGTATTACGTTGCCGGTGGCGACAGTCAGATGTGGTATCTGTACGTTTTGGCTTATACCGTCCATTGTCATCACGCCAGGTTGAATCAGTACCGGTGTTTGAATAGTGTTCACGAGTACTGTGGGCTGTCCTATGACTTGCTGGGCAACACCTACCGCGGGAATAACTTGGCTGACAGCACCAGTCACGCTGGTAACCATTGGCGAAACTGACAGTGGTGGCATAGAATTAGCATTGGAGATAATTTTCGGCGGTGGAGGCGCCATGACGCCGTTGATTGTTGATCCGGTGCTTGCCATTATGAGTTGACCACCACTGGATACTAATATATGACCGGGCGGTAATGTCGATCCGGCAGGATGTTTTAGTATTCCACCAGAAGTGAGAACGTTGTGAACTTGAACATTGGCCTGCGGGTGTTGTTGCTGCGGCTGCTGTTGCTGCTGTTGTTGTGGCTGCTGCTGCTGCTGCTGCTGCTGCTGCTGCTGCTGCTGCTGCTGCTGTTGATTTTGAGGCTGCATCGATGAATTCGCACTTGCTTGAGGTACTTGTATGCTACTAACAACGCTCTGGACCATTTCGAGCGGAGATTTGGATACGCTCATCGTCGCGGATTGACTATGCGGGGCAGAAGACTGAGTGGAAACTGAAGTACCCGATATATTCGATTGCGCTTGATGCTGTGGCTTGTTCGGCAGAAGATTAGATATCGCAGACGGTGTGTTTATTGAAACGGTGGCGGTATTCGCCCTTCCGGCCAAGACAGACGTGATCGTATTACTGCTCACTGTATGACCGCTCGCCATAGTTGTTATCACGGACGATGTTCCACTGAAAGTGTTTATAGGTATTCTGGAAACAGCATTGACAGTATGAGGATGAGGTTGATATCCATCCAGAGAATTTTGCCTCGTCGTTATTTGCCGTTTCACTTGAGACGTCAAATTGTCCGACGCGGAGGAGGATGTTTGAGATGGCGAAGTACTAGGTGGAATGCCGCTAGAACTCATTGTAACCGAATTTGGAGTTTCGGACCTTTGTTCTTGAATACCGCTGCCAATCAAAGATTGCGACGGCTGCTGCGCTTGTGGCGTCAGCGTTTGAGGTGGCATTTGGCCCGACACGTGCGAATGAGGCGTCGGTGGTTGCGAGTAGCTGTGCGGCGTCGCCGGTTGCGACGAAATCAGGCTCTGCGGAGTCGCCGGTTGCGAGATTCCAGGTGTCGAAGCCGCCGGCGTGTCCGAATTGGCCGGACTGTTGGTGCCAATAGGAGATCCATGACTCGTGCTCACAGTGCCGCCTTGTATTGGTCTAGAGTCAACTTGCTGTTGGTTGTTCGTTTGATATCGCTCGCCGAACGTCGATGACGTAACAGGATCCTCGCGCTGATCCGTGTGCATCAGGTACTGCCGCTGCATCTGCTGTTTATACTGATCCTGGATGTAAGATTGAGTATCGGCGCTGGTGACGCAGCCCTGACACGGGCTGCTCTCGGAATCCGTGCCGCTGTTGCTCGACGTCGGCGTCATACTGCTATGTACGACGACCGGCGAGGTCGCGTGATTCTTTACGGAAGCGAAGGACGAGGTATTCGTGGGACTGGCAATAGAGGAAGGCTTTGGTTGAGGAAGATAGGTATTGTTGGGCACGTGTGTGCCATGACTGGTCTGAGGCGAGGCTTTCGAATTGTTATTCAGCATGCTCACTTGAGAACTACTGACACCGGTCTGCCTCGATATCGTGCTGTTCAGCAGCGCCGTCTGCTGGGCGAGGTACCCACTGGGATCCTCTAGGAACGAAGGGCCGCTGCTGTTGAACGTCGAACCTATCTGACCATTATTCTGCTGATTCTTCTCGTTGAATTCGTCCACCGGACTCGCTGCCGAGTGCTCTAATCCGTTGTTCGTTCTCGACGATTCTGCAACGCCGTGCTGCCGCTGCTTTTTCACTATTATTTTACTCGACTTCGCCTTTTTCCGCGCGGCCTCGTCCGTCCAAGTAGAGGCCTGTGGAATGTGATGATGAAGCGGCGGCACACGGTCGAACGAGTTGCAGGTGATATTCTGCACCGTGACAACGGACGGTTGATGGGACACGACCGCGGCGCGATTCTGCTGCCACGGTGGCGTTCTGTTGTTGAAATGCATACTGCCGGGCTGCCCGTTTGGTCCCATACCAGATTGCTGCGCTTCGACAGCGTGGCTGGCGTTCGGGCTTCTTCCCGTGTGATTCGACAGAACAAACTGCTGTTGAGGTCCCATTTTAGCGTCCGCGTTCGTTCCTTTCGAAGGGTCGAAATTTCTTACCGGATATTGTACTTGATTCTGCGCGTACATCCGCTGAACGTTCTCGTGCGGGCTATTCGACAAGCCGCCGTTTTGAACCACGTGATGCCGCTGAATCGAATTATTATGTAACAATAGTTGCTGCTGCTGTTGCTGTTGCTGTAATTGTTTCACGTTTAGATCTTCTTCGGTAACCGATGGTGTTCGGTTGAGTCTGTTTTGAATATCAGTAGCGTTCATATTGGTCATGACAGTGGAACCGGTTTGCTGCTGCATGACGTCCACAGAATGATGATTTAGCTGTTGATTTGAATATTGCTGCTGAATGCAAACTTGAGATAATTGTTGCTGTTGCTGTTGTTGCTGCTGCTGCTGTTGCTGCTGCTGTTGAAGCTGCTGTTGAATCTGCATCTGGAAGTGATCCGTCGATTGAGATTGCATAGCGTGTTGATTCTGTTGTGACTGCTGAGATTGCATTTGATGTTGATGAAGTTGATGCAATTGCGGATGAAGGCCGGTTTGATTCGGCACTTGCGACGATTGCATATGATGCACGTAATTTTCAGTCGGGTGCTGAGAATTGTAATTCGTCGACTGCTGCTGCTCCACTTCCTGAGGCAAGTGCTGTTGCTGTTGCATGTTATGTTTTTGAATTTGTTGCAAATGCAGCTGCTGCTGTTGCTGCTGCTGCTGATTCAGATGCTGCTGCTGTTGCTGTTGCATCACGTGCAACGACTGTTGATTCAGCTGATTGATGTAATGAGGAGCTTGCTGCTGTACTAATTGATTTACGGTGTTCTGATGCTGTTGTTGTTCTTGCTGCTGCTGTAGGATCTGCATATGTTGCAATTGTTGCTGATGCGGCACCAACTGCTGTGAATTCTGCTGCTGCTGCGATATTTGCTGTTGGATAAGCTGCTGCTGCTGCTGTTGCTGCTGCTGTTGCTGTAAGATCAATTGTTGATGTTGCTGTTGCAAAAGCTGCTGCTGCTGCTGACTCATATTATTGAAATTGGTACCCTGCTGATTCATTATCAGCGGGTTGCCCATCAGCATGCCCGACATGTTGTGTTGATTTAGCCTTTGCTGAGGATTTCTCGCACAACTGTTCACATCATTCTGGGAAGGTGAATTTAAAGACTGATGACAGATCTGTTGGCCGTTTTGCTGGACTTGCAAATTCGGGATCGCAATTGGCCATACCTAAAAATCAAATAATCATACGTAAATATTTGAATAGATGTGTACTAATTTTTCTACGAATATTTATACAAAACTTCTACTTTATAATAACATTATTACACTAGCTTCACTTAATATACAGAACAATCGAAACACTACGTACTGTTAATTATTAAAACAAATCACGCGCTACGGTATAATTCTTAGGTTAAAAAGGAACCCCAATAATTTGCGATTCAATTAAAGCCACGACTCAATTACCTGCGATCCATTAGGCACCGGTGAACCTTGAACTCCAGATGCCGCGACCGCAGCAATAGCCCTCTCTCGTTGTGCCAGAAGTTGCGAAACCGAGACGCCGGAATAAATACCGCCTATGCCTCCTAGTTTCCTCTTCTTCTTCTTGCTGAGACCATCTGTGCACGCCAATAAAGTATCTCTTAATAAACCAGAATCGGAATCCAATTATCTTCGATTCGCCGGCATCTACTTGAAATTGAATCGACAAAGGCTTTTCCCGTTCGAAGCGCAATTGTAAAAGACGACGATAAGTCCCTGGCGCCGTGTAGAAATTAAAATACGACTTATTCGCTCTAACTCTGCGCTCCCCCCGTCGGCTTTCTCGCTTATTATTCAGGCGACGTTCCAAGCTTCTTAATGAAGCAAGTGTTCCATTTGAAATCCCGCCGCAAGGTTAAATCGTATTTAGCCCGACATTTCCGTGCTTTAATTCTCCACTTTTATAAAACGTCGGCTTTTCCCTCGGTCTGCATTATCATTCCGGAATATATCTTTCGCGAGATAAAAATATTACCGCGATAATAGATCAAATTGCATAGCCGTGTTAAAAGATGTTAACATTAGATTATTACATAACTGTGATTAAAATAACTTTACAACATGTGATTAGTACTAAATATTTTTCATATGCTCAAGATTGATAAGAATTGATAAAAACTTTAAATTATTAATGAATTAGCCTGGTGCTTAAAATTGTGAAAAAAACTCATTGAGATTGTTATAATATTATTATTTATCACGTCACGCGATCTCTCGAATTATAGCTTGGTATAGTTTCAGAATCGTTTAATTACAAGCGAGAAATTAATAAAAAAATTATATAAGAATAAAAAGTAGTATGTTAATATATATCGATGACACGAATAAAATAAATATAAAATTTGAAGTTATATATTCTGATTAAAAAGAATTTTGAAAACCATACAAGAATGTTATGAGAAAACTTTAAAGTCATTTAATAAATAACAAATTACACGATAACAAAATTGGATGCAAATGATTAAATAATGTAGCAGCATTTTAATATTTGAATAAAAGAAACGGCATAAATAAAAGATCAGAAGAATGGAGAGATTAAATAGATTTATAACACTTCTGAAACCTTATCATTCTCGCATATTCAACGCGGAAAAAGCGTCCCGAGCAGCCATCGACACTTCTGAATTACCGTGATTTATGAGAACGTGTTAGAAAGGAGGAGGACTAAGGTTTTCATCGGGGCGACAGGCTAAGGGGATCTTTTATCTGTAAGCCTACAGAGGATAATTATTCTCCGTGCGCGGCGATTGGCGTGGGGAAGGAAGAGAACGGATAATTCTCGGCGAAGAGGGAAAGGCATGAAAACGACGAGAAGCGAAAGCAAAAGAGGAGGGTGAGTTGGGTGAGCGTAGTAATGAATCTACGGTGGCAGTAAGGCAACTTGTCCGTCCTGACGACGGCAGTTTAACCCGATTTCCAAAGGAGGGGACGGAAGATTTGCGTAAAATCTTTAGATCCATTTTGCGGCTTCCGGGGGTTTTCGCGCGAACGCGTAAAATCTCTCCCCCGCGACTATCTCGACTCTCGGAATGCCTGCAGTCAATGGCTCGAGCAATAAACGTTCTCGTCGTTAAACCTGATGAAAGAGGGCGATGTAGTAATTGGAAGATATAGTTCGTCGTTTGCGGCTGCTTTCAACCACCGCGGCATTCATTTAAGTACGAGATGTTCGCTGTTTTAACTCGCTCATATCAAATGATGGAACATAATTTTATTTGTGCAGATTACCGTGAAATGCACCGTGTGATTTACGAAAATCATTTGTTTCTAACTAAAAGTACATCTTTCAAAGGAACTTATGAGTCCGGAACGAACGTATTAATTATATGTGACATAATTTATTATTACACACAGCGCAATAGAAAGAAATGAAATGATAATTTATAAAAAAAAGTTAGAAACTGTAATCACTAAAACGTAATTTCTGAATGATTCTACGAGCAAATAAATGACTTGGTTGCAACGGAAGAGAATGTAAATCTTCAGGGTTCACACAGAGGATTTGTACATAAGCCCGAGCAATAGTAGTTAATTCCATCGGTTCATTCCAGAGCTGCTGGAGCTAGAGACAAACGCACCTACAAAGGTAACATTCGTAATCCCGCGAGATAGATGCACTCTCCGTCGGTCTCACTGTTGCGGCATTATCAGGAGCGAGCGCTGGTGGCATCGTCGGCGTTTTAACCACGTCTCTAACGGCCGTCAGGCACCTCGGCGAGCGTCGCGAGTTTATATTCAAGCTCCAGCGGTCTCGGCGGCGACGAATGACTTGGTTCGGTGCGAGCATGAAAACCCACCGGGATCGTGCCGTTACGTCACGCCGAAGCGTTGATGCGGACTGAGCGGAGCGAGACCGAAATGCGCTTGCGCGATTACCCGACGGAAACGGGCGCGAGGGTGGCTCGGGGGTGAGACAGAGAAGAATAAGGACCCTCCGTTGAGGGAACGAACGTCACTCTCGGGGCAGGCGCAAGAATCACAACCGGACACAGTCGTTGGACCGCAAGGCTGCGTTCTCTCCCACCCACCCTCTCCTTTCTGCGCTCGCTTCTCATGCGCGCGCGACCGTGGCTCGCTCCTCGTACGAAATTAACCCTTATCAACTCCGTGTCTACCACCACCATCCTCCTTCACGATCCCCCACCGGGAATACGGTCCGGCTTCTTTCGCCTCCCTTCCTTTTGTATCCACCATCACCACCTCCGCCTCGGCGTCGCGGTACGTCGTCGTTCTCCTTGTCGTCGTCGACGTCGTCGTCGTCACCGGCAGCGAAGGGAGAGCGGATTCTTTCCTCCTCCCGGGACTTTATTGATCGCCGCCGCGATAAGAAGGCACGAGCCGGCCGATTGGTCTGGGGATGTGGCCGCGCCGTGATCTCGCCACGACGAATGTAGCCGGCGCGGAAAACGCGATCCATTGTTTCTTAACGCAATCGGATTAAATTCAGATTCTTCGACCGTTAGTTATCGTGGGATAGCGCAATCTTTTCTCATAAAAATTTTCGATGAATCAAATAATAAAATAGGATATTTCATAATTTTATTGTAAAATCTTATTATTTCTATAAATAAATAAAATTATTTTATTATACAATTTCTTCGGTTAAATAATAGATATCATTAACTGAGATTGCTTTCTTTTCTACGTAACATATGGAATCCGATCGTGTGTTAACTCTGCCTTCCCTCTACCTGCTTCCTAAGGCGATTATCTTTTTCAGACACATCCTACGCAAATATATTTTCAGAAAATACAGGTCTAATAGACCCACTTAGCAAACGATAGAGTTAATCTGTTTACACGACACAATATCCACAACATCCACAATATCCTCAACAGGCGAGGAAAACAAACACTCTCGCGTGCGGCTAAATCCGCCAAAGGAATTTCGAAAGTTCGCCACCTGCAACGAAATCCCGTAGTCGACAACTCGCACGAGGGGGCGAATTGGGGTTCGTCGCCCGTAAAATCGCTTCTCTCGCTGCTTGGGACGCCGCCGTAACTGCCGCGTACTGTGTCGTCGCCGAGGACAAAAGTGATCGATCGAGCTTCGGGGGAAACTGTTTGCGGGGAAAATTGTTTGAAGCGACAAAAGATCGTGTAAACCGCGCCCTAGATTTCGATGTGCGTATTATTACTGATCCAATGAGCAGATTGCATTATGAATCTCATTAAACGTGCTTATTGACTTTTCCAGTTGAATAACGAGATTGGATTAATTATTCTAATTAATTCTCATATACATTTTACATCTCAACATAGAGCAGAAATATTTTATTTAACATATCAGTTACATCGTCTGTAAAATCTAACAAAAAAGCCTTTCAATTGATGAAAAAAATAATTTAAATCGCTGCAAATAATTGTTCAAACAGCTTCATTAAAAACTTTATTTAATATTCATATAAGTGATAGAAAATGAGATTGAGGGAGAACTGACTTGAAGAGTTAACACAGCAATAAATGTAGGATTAAATTTTCACATCGGCAAAATGCTTTTCGGATAATTGTGATTTCCACTTCGCTCTCGTGACCGATAAAAAGCGAAAGACGCGTTTAATCATTCCTGCTCTCAGCCCGGTGTATAATAATCCATCGCATGTAAGCGAAAGAGCCCTCCCTTTTTAGCCGGCAAAGTCAAACTGAAAATCAGGGAAAGGGGGAATTAAATCGACTCCCAACGGGAGTGAGCGCGTTATGAAAACTTGGAGCTCGACGTTCAACGATAAAGATTCATTCGAGCCTCTCCACTTATTCCCTTTGCCGTTCTTCTCCCCCGTCGTAGAGGTGTGTGTGTGTGTGTGTGTGTGTGCGTAGAGCGCGAGCGCGCGCGTCAACCCTCCCCCGACGACGAGAGAGAAGAAAGTCAGGGAAAAAGCCAACCCCATCCAGCGTGTCGTTTTATATCACCGGAGGATTGGAATCGAAGCGGCGCGAGCGTGCGTCGATGTTAAAACGACCCTATAAAGTCCCATAAAAACACTGCCACCGACATGTATGTATATCCTCCGCTCCGACCGTAAACTCAAGTTAAACTTCAGCCCCCGGATTTTCAGACGCAAGCGCGAAACTGCCTCGTCCCGCGATGCTGCGCACGAGTGCGCCTATGCAGCGGGACGCATCGCGCTAATCTATTTACGAGGGCGAACGGATGCAGCGAATCGATCCATTTTTGTTGTTGAAAGTGTTCATCGCTGCGGAGCGAACTCCCCGCGAGGGAGCTCTCCCGCGAAGAAAATATTATACCGCGCGAATGCCGTGCTGCTCGTCGCAGCTGCAAACCGGGGACCCCAATAATTTTAATGTTTAATTTTGATGTTTAACGTTTAATTTCACAATATGCAAATGTAATATTTTCCGCGGCACATTAAAATTATGGATATATCATTTTCATGACGTTCGGGTAAGCCGGCACGTTCGATGAAGCGTCCCCAGCTCCGAATAATATTAAAACGCGCAGCTACGGTGCTCAGGGTGAAAGTTTAATAACCGTTGGTCGACAACGCGGTCGCGCCCGGCTTTCAATCTACAAGCGGATTATAATTTCTAGCCGACGCAATTTGGACTACAGGTAGAAGTACGTCGGGAACGCGCGTCCTGCAACAGCCGCTTAATTAACGGCGCGGAAGTAAGGAAAAAAGAGAAGAGAAATGGGGAGGGAGGTGAGGGGAAGGAGCAAACCGACGCAGTGCAGGATACGTCGGTTATGGGATTTGGTAATGAAATTCGGTGGAGAGTTTGGCGGCTACGGTGATACATCATTCCACCCCCGTCCTCAGCCCCGTTTCACCCCTCGCCGCGTTTCTCCCGCGCTTTAATGCCCAACTGCGGCGGGCGAAGAAAGGACGATTTCGCGGCGGGGCGAGAAGGAGGATGGGATCGGCGAAGCGACTTCGCTAATGCCGCAATTTCACCGTTCCTCTTTCACCGTCGACTTTTTTCCCTAATGATCACGGCTCACTTGACGGTGTGGAAAAACTTTTGGTCTTCCTCCAATAAAAGTTGGCACGTGTTCCCGCGCGACGGTGAATAAACGTCTCGGCGATTATGGCGTCGGTTCGACGTCCGACTTGACAGAAAACTTTGTTAATACGTCGGATCGATGGAGAAAGTTCCGCGAGCGCGTGTGCGCCAACTTGTGCGGCGGCGGAGTTTGACTGTCGAACTCGTCGAGATTGTAAAAACGGATATTATGGATAGAAGGATCTTGATTTTGATCGATCGCGGGGAAAAATTATTCGACGCGAAAGAAAATTGAGAAGTTTGGCGCGAAAATACTTATTCAATAAAATATATAATCATTATGCTTCAAGAAAGTATTATCATCTTCCCGAACGATAACTATTACATTATTAGTTTTTGTATACATCTTTATATTAAAACTCTTAGTTTTATTAAATCTTTAAAACTTTCAATTCGTATCCTCAAAACAGTAACATTTTCGATTTATGATATTATTATACCCGATTTTCAAGTTTCAACCGCGATCTCTTTCGTTCGATCGACTACCTGAATAATCGATGATCCGATCGTTTCGGTAGCACTTATACTTTTACCTTTTCTGGCTTTATCGGACGACGTAGGCGAGTCGGCGTTCGCGTGAATTGAGGCCGTTGTCGAGCCAGAAGATAAAGTCGACGATGAGACCGCCGGTGTACAGGACGCAACAGGACTGGCGATCGCGGCCGGCAGCAGAAGTTTCCTCTTATGGTTGCAGAGCTTGGTCATCTCCTGCGTCTTGCCCTGATCCGGGCTCCAAGGTCGTGTCGCAACCTGAAACAAGAACGCGCGCGCCGCTCGTTATTCGCCTGATCGTATCGCAGCCAGTGTGTGACAGCCTAACGAGCTAACTTCGAATCAATTTAAACGTATGACAAAAGTTCCAAATCACCTCGATTACTGTTTCAAATTTTAAAAGGATTGAAATTCTCGACAAATAACATTAATATTAAGATTGTAACAGTAATTTTTATAAAATTACTTGAAATCATTAAGATTTCGATGATGTTTGCATTGGTATCGCTTTCTCTCTGCATTGTACAAAAATTAGTGTGGAATTACAATTATCATAGTGCGTAATTTTTGGACCAGCTATCACAGATGTAAATTTCCACACGCACAATGTAAAATTTGCAGCTCGAAGGTGAAATTAATTTCTAGCGCTATAATGAAGCAGATTGCAGAGGTAAATATATAAATAAAACAGGTATAAATTTGCAATGCGCTATGCAATCTGCTGCATTACAACGTTAGAAATTAATTTTACCTGCAAACTGTAAATTTACATACGTGTGGAAATTTATGCTTAAAACAATTGAACTCAAAATTATCCACTATAAGAGTTGCAATTTCACACAAATTTTTTTTTACAATGTGCTCCGCATAAAATAACGATAATTTTCTTTGTCTCCGCCTGATTTCGAATGGATCGCCATAATTGGCGAATATCGACGCGCGAAACGAGCAAGAGTGGAAGGCTCGGCGAAGCGAGAGGCGAGTAAAAGAGAGAAGTTGAGAGAGTCGGTGGCCCCAGCTGACGATGCTCATGAATCTCATGATCGATGTGCGATGCTGTGAGCGGAGTTAAAACGCGTTCAAGTTGGAAGGCCGCAGGCCGATGCCCGTAATGGTCTTCGCCGTGTTACGCGTCAGCTCGGGCGACGTTCCGTCGGCAATTTACGGCCGCAAACATGGTACCATTATAGCGTATCGTAAATAAAATAATGCCGCGTGATGTATAAGAAGTACGTGTAAAGCGCGCCGCGCGAAATATTAATCGTCGTACAATTTCGACGCCGCAACAATTCTTTCGATCGGCTCGCGAGATACGACGATCGGTGAGTTAATCGTTGATAATAAAAATAAATAAATAAACTACACGGCGCTACATAGAGAATTATCTTGTTGCGAAAATTGCGCATTTATATTTCGCGGTAAAAATTTATCTAGCAAGTCGATCGACTGCGGACCGACAAGATCATCAAGTTTCACGGATCGCGCGCGCGCGGGAAACACGAGCCGTGGATTTGTCGCACTCTACCTGAGCAGAGTATCTGGCAGGTTAATTAAGAACGACCTGAATACGGCGCCGAGATTACGCGTACTCGACGCGGCGTTCGGCCTTGGCGTCGAGAGCCGACGAGTCGCCGCCGCGCCGGTGTAATGACGTATACCGGCGGTTAACTCAATCAGAACGTGTTTTCTCCAACTGGTCTATTATTCATTCCCCTTCTGGCGAGGCTCATCAGCGGTGATCACCTTACCGGTTAATCGCGCCCACTGCGATACTGGGAAGAAAGAACGGCGGCAGCCTCGTGGCGTGACCCACCTCGGAAATATTGCGGAGTCAATCGGAGATCCCATCGCGACAAACAACACGAGGGATCATAATTTATGTATTGATTGCGGCTACCGCCGGATCCGTGGAATTTTCTACTTGAATAGGTATTCTAGGTAATGGCATTTATTAAAATCATCGAAAATAAGTCTTTCGAAGACTAAAAAAAAAAAATTATACGACAGAAATGAGATGTAGAAACGACGAAGTATTCCGCGAATAAGCATGAGAGAATTCTGACAAAGTCAAGCTTTTAAACACATCCGCATTTTTCACGATATGAATCACTTTGGACAACGTATCATGTGCGAATGCTCGATTCTCTTTTATTCGCGCTCGCAGAGTGCATTGCCTCCGAGCGTGCAATTGCGGTTACGCTGTACGTTCACGAGTGTACGCAAGGTGTTTGCATCACTACCTAAATAATCCTCACCACCAAGAGTGTATGTATACACACACACACACACATATATATGTATATATATTGTGTACATATATATATATATATATATGCAGGCGCTATACCGCCGCCGCCGCTTTCCACGACATTATTTCCCGTCACACGTCGCCCATTGCACGCGAGGTAATCACAGCGGCGACCGGCGGCGGAAACCGCGATTTAATCCTTTTTCTCGGACGCAAAATGAGACGCCGTACTGCGACAGAAACGACTTTAATACGATAGCTTTTACCCGTCCTCTATCCTGTGCGCCCGTGCCCGGATGAACGCGGAGAGTTCTCTCCCTCTTGATTAGACGATCCCGAAAGGGAAAATAAACTGCACTACACGCGGCGGCTGTAATTACCACGCCAAACGAACCAGCTAGTACACGGTTACCGGCTTTCTGCAGAAAACTGTTTTATATAATAGGTTACTGTACCGCATACAATCACGGATACATCGGAGAGAAAAACATTAAAGTAATATTATACATTTTTTAAAAGCATTCGGAATCAGATACGATCGTAATGAAAATTTTAATATGCTAAAAAGAAAATAAAATACAAAGAATTATGCATAATATTTCTCTCTTATGTGAAAACGTTATTTTGCTCTTATTTCTTATCTCTAGTAATGACTCTAATTATAAGAACTGCTTCAATAAAATTTAATGGCAATGTGGGGCGGAGAAACTAGCCAGAAATATGAATCATCGTAATCTAGTTAAAAGATATAATATTTATTAAACTTATTTATCAAGCTAGTAATTAAGAAGTATTCGTAAATAATATATATATATTAACTTCTGAAATAAACCAGAGAACGTTTCATGCGATGTATCAGCGTTTTAATATCGTAAATCGATATTTCCAGTAACTAACGCCAATTCACGAGCATAAAATTCGTTTCGGGCGATGCGTTTCTTGATTGCGGATATTTTTATCGAAATTTCCGCAACGCATTCGCGCAAACGCGAGCGACGATCCGCAGAGTTTTATTTCGAGGGAGATAAATCATCGCGCCGCCACGTACGCTGACTCCGGATCTCGGGGCCCAATCAACTCTGCACGCGGGACCGTGTATTCCTCTCTCGGCCCGTCGCGACGCGACCTCGACGTCGTTAAATTAAATTTATGCCAAGCCATTCCCTCCCACCCGCAAACGCGCGCGCGCTCGCACGTATATACCGTGTATGCGTTTATCGTTACCGCGCGACATTACACAGAATTAACGTAACAAGGCTATTAGTTCGCGATTTTACGACTTTAATTGTGACAGTGGGAGTGACTGCTCGAGCCTCAACAAATTGGCTCTCGAGACAATCACGCGGGAGCACGTCGGTGCCGTACGTCGTACGTACCTGTCGACTGCGGATAATTAAACGCGCGTACGTTCGTCCGCGTAGAATTGTGCGCGAATAACACTGCCAGAGAATGTCGGTTCACTGATTGCGCGGGAGACTCCGTGCGCGCGTCTCTTTCAATCATTACGACAATCGCAAGAAATAACGTTCGCTAAACAGTGAACTAGATATAATTGAATGGAACAACGAGCGTCGTTATGTAAAGTCATATTGTTGAAGCAAGGTAAAATCAATTAACGCAGTCTCTCACGATTGTTGCGAGTTATTGTGAATTTCCGACGATTGATGAAACATAAAAAAATTCCTTCATCGTGTAATTAAATTATATTCAATGCTTGGTGAACATTAATTACTAGCGCTTATCGCAGAAGGTTTGTAACAAATTGCAGCAAATCGATGAAAATGTGTTACGGGGAGCGCTATCGATTTAACAATAATTTTAAGATACTATCTTTGATATTCGATAACGACTCCCTCCCTCCTGCGCCCGCTTCTTCTCGCATTGTAATTTACAATATTGTGCAGCTTTTGCATTTTGCACGCATTTTCATGATGAGAACATAAAATTTTATGAACCCGCGTTATTAAACTCTGTCATCGTTAAAAGTCTCGCGTCAAAGCCGTGAATATGGGTCGACAATGAGCGACGTCAATGCGAATATCTAATTTACGATCGACGCCGCAATTCTCGCATTAATATCGCCATTATTGAACTAAGGTAACTGTCGGACGTAATGAAAGCTACCTCCATGTGTACTCGTCTACAAATAGCATTTCACTGTGCTTTCGCCGTCGGAATGCGCCGTTGCGAAACAAGATGCAGCGACACGCAATTAATTTACCCGAATGTCTAAAATTACTGCAGCATAACAATGCAGGGAATATACGTTGTCGAGTTTCTCAAACATTACCGTTTCACAATTAAAAATGAGTTTTCATCAACTTCCGACAAATTGGAAAAAATAAATAAAGTAAAACTATATCGCAAAACTCATTTGTACGTTTTACATAATAACGCGGAATTTGCATTAATAACAATAGATTCGCGTATACGAAGAACCTAGGACGTATTTAGGTCACCAGGCGCTACAATTAACTAATCCATTAATTAGTAGCTCTTCGCCGATAATTGCGCACTCGCCCTCATTTCTGACAAGAGGTTCTCCCCCGTTAATTATGACGCGTGTAGCAACGCTAGCTCCCGAATGTTCAATTAATCGCTTGATAAACCGATTATGTTAGTTTCTGCCGCGGCACCGCACGCACAATCCGAATATCTTATTATATAGATTGCTAAGACAAACGGGATAACGCGCTCGCATATCACGGTGAGTTTAATGAGCTGTGATATTTCAAAAATCAATCATCGACACGTGGGCGCTGTTGCAATGTTACGTCGAGCGTCACGGCGTCACGGAATTATCGAAAGGGCAAAGTGAAAAAAGCGCGCTTTATACGATCTGTGCTCGGTAATTATATCCGTACAGATGACAATTATCAGATCTAGCTGATACTAATTCATCACGCGACAAGTCGCTCGTAGGATTAACTCTCCATGGAGAAAACCATGTCACATTAATGATATTCAAGGATTAACGAGAACGCGTGTTCTGCAAGGCTTACTTAATTAC